CCGGCAAATCCCGGTTATACAACGGTGAAAGACGGTGACCTCATGCCGATTGCAGGCAATTTAAAGAACAGGTATATATACACTTGGAAGTGCTACTTTTGATCATTCTGTTTAAAAGTCGTTAGATTTTAGCCTTTCAACCATGGCCTCTTTTTGCTCATTCTCTGCTTTTTTGGAGACGAGCTTTCCTTATTGTCAGGCTGGTTCGACCCATTCATGCTATCTGGGGGAGTCGTTTCAAAACTTACATCAACCTCTGTAGGCATTGTAGGCACAATCTTTCCAACCGCTTCCCCTTTCCCTTGAGAAGCATCTCTGCTGTCTTTTTACCAAATGACTGATGTCAACGTGGTCAAGCAGTTTTATTCAAACTTGATCCGCATTTACCGGAGCGTTACCGGAACAGTATCGGCATGATGAAACCGTGTCTAGTCGGGTATCCAACGGGATCATCCTGGAATACACCGGGTTAACATTGGCACTTACCGTATATATCCGGTGCTATACCGGGTATTGAACCGGGAATACCTCAGGGCTCTGTCGGGGATGTGTAAACGCAGATTTACTTTTCAGAAAAGCACCCGGTTCACCGGCTTAAGACACCATAGCGATATTGTGGACATTACCGGTACAGTGTAAAATGAGGCCCGTCAAGGAGGGTATCAAAATGATCTAAATTGTCCACACTACAGAACCATTTGTCCAGACAAATATGTGTATGATGTTGATTTTATATGTAAACAGCTTGTTAATAAATCTTATTATCACTCAAGGACCAGCGTCTGAGGCTTATGAGACACTTCGTTTTATGTACATATTTATTCCAATTTCACGATCCAATGTTTGTAAAATATGTAATTAAAATGTTATTCTATTACTTATGAATTGTAGTACGATATTAATATAAATTTACTTCTATGCATGTCATCAAGCAGCTCGACCACTGCCTCCGCATTCTGAGCCATTTCAATATAAAGTTGCAGCCAGTAAATGGCAATTATTATTTACTGAATGTTCCCGCATATATGTCTGTTTTTAACAAGAAGGTAGTATTTATACCCTTTAAAAAGTACATGATACTTAATTCATACGTACTAAACAGTGGTGGACCGTACCATTCCGTACCGTTTCGTGTTGCAACGCAATAAACCGTATAAGACCGTGCTAAACCTTGCCTCTCCGTAGTATGTAACGTATTACGATCGTGGCTTTCCGTGACAAAGCCATATTAAGCCGCATTAAAACCGTAGCTTATACGTAGGGTAACCGTACCAATACGTAGTTCTCCGTACCAAATCGTGGAAATCCTTGACAAGTTGGTGGACTACGAATTAGTACAGACTAGTACGGTTTTCGTACGTACCAGTACGTATCAGTACGGTTTAATACGGACTAGCAGGGATACGCTACGGTTGATTTTTTCCGTAGCAAATTTTTGTGCATGTTCAAAAATTGTTGCCCCGGTCACATATTCACGGATAATGCCACGAAAGAGCTACGGTCTAATCGTTCACGGATTACTACGGAAATGTGAAATTTCGTAGTCCGCTACGGTTTCAGTACGGACACACAAAGGTATAATTACGGAGTCCGACGGATTTACCACCAAAACCCCCCGGAGAGACACGGATTGTTACGGACCGACACGGTTTGATACGGAGCGACACGAATCAGGACGGACGCACTACGGATACACTACGGTCTGCTACGGTATAAGCACGGGTTAGTACGAATAGGTACGGTCTGATACGGAGAAGAACGTATTGATACGGAGAAGAACGAATTACCCGGATCTATACGGACCTAATACATCCGTCCACAACCTCTTGCTGGCTCATTTTCAAAATGCCTCAAAAGAAAAGAACACATAGAAAATGAATTGCAGAGTTCAATGATTTTGGCCGAGAGGATTCGGCCTAATCGCGTCCGACCCCCGAGACACATTAGGTCCGATAAAAGTGAATTACTTGAAGGACGCTGGATCCTCAACAAGTTCGGCCATGAGAGCCTCATACTAAACATGAAGCGGTCTTCGTAAAAGCCCATCACTAGTCCACAATCCCGTCTGTCTTATCTTACCTGATTAGATATGGACTAGTAATCATTAATGAAAAATGTTGATCAATACTGCTTCTCTTTAAATTTTAAGATTTGCTGTTCATCTTACAATTACATTAATTATCGTGATGTTTATGTTTTGAAAATATGAAAAAAAGCTTGTTAATAAATATTATCACTCAAGGGCAAGCGTCCGAGGCTTATGAGACACTTCGTTTTATGTACATATTTACTCCAGTTTCACCATCCAATGTTTGAAAAATATGTAACATTAAATGTTATTCTATTACTTATGAATTGTAGTACGATATCAATATAAATTTACTTCTATGCATGTCATCAAGCAGCTCGAACACTACCTTCGCATTCTGAGCCATTTCAATATAAAGTTGCAGCCAGTAAATGGCAATTATCGTTTATTAAATGTTCCCGCAAATATGTCTGTTTTTAACAAGAAGGTAGTATTTATACCCTTGAAAAGTACATGATACTTCATTCATCAGTACTAAACAGTGGTGGACCGTACCATTCCGTACCGTTTCGTGTTGCAACGCAATAAACCGTATAAGACCGTGCTAAACCTTGCCTCTCCGTAGTACAACGTATTACGATCGTGGCTTTCCGTGACAATGCCGTATTAATCCGTATTAAAACCGTAGCTTATACGTAGGGAAACCGTACAAATACGTAGTTCTCCGTACCAAACCGTGGAAATCCTTGACAAGTTAGTGGACTACGAATCAGTACGGACTAGTACGGTTTTCGTACGGACCAGTACGTATCAGTACGAATTAATACGGACTAGTAGGGATACGCTACGGTTGATTTTTCCGTAGCAAATTTTTGTGCATGTTCAAAAATTGTCAAGGATCGCTACGGATATACAAGGACTTCTACGATTGATTACGGTTACAATACGGAGAGCTACTGACCTGTACGGGTAGCTACGGACGATGCCGGAATTAATCCGTGGCTCTTCCGTGGGCATATTCCGTGAATATGTGACCGGGGTATAAGGATCGCTACGGGTATACAAGGACTACTACGATTGATTACGGAGAGCTACTGACCAGTACGGGTAGCTACGGACGATGCCGGAATTAATCCGTGGCTCTTCCGTGGGCTTATTCCGCGAATATGTGACCGGGGTATTACATCCTTCGTTACAATATTACAGGATCCTTAATATGCAAAAATAGCCCTTACTGTGTTTATCACACAGTAGAAATATGGCGATTAATACTGCAAAATCAGTCATTAATTGCATATAACATGTAATTTAATGATTTCTTGAATTGTGAATATTTTTACATTCGTTAAATTCTTAGAACATTTTTCTCAAGGTTGATTTTTTAAACAGTTTTGCTCATCAGGAAGCATGCAGCTTCAAAACGATACTTAACAAACAAGAACATCTATATATCTGTTGCATCGAAATTGAACGCGTCTGGCATTTAAAAGTAGAACACCTGAATGTTCATAACATGTTCTATAATGGAATGGTTTGGTGTTAAGATTTTAACGTCAACGTTAAAATTTGAACACTAGATGTTCATAAGGCGTTAGAATATGAACGGTTGGAGACAAAAGTTGAACACTATTATTAAGAAATGGAACGAGTCTTGGCGTTCAATATCTGTTGCAAATAGGCGTTCAAGATGTGTTCTATTCTTGAACATTAACATTTACAGTGATATAATTGTTATGTCTTTGATCACATGTTATTCAAATGAATGTGAAAAGCAAGTCACGTGTTTTGAATTGCGACACACGCCTAGTCAAGCATAAGAAAGGTAACACATTAGTAGAGTTAAAATATGCCTTTTCATTCTCATTTCCCTTTGATGAAAAAACTCGTATTTCGATAGTCGAAATCTTTTTAACCACCCGATTATTTTTTAAATATTTAGGTTGAGGTTAAAAATAGCAATACAAAGCTTGTTTGTCTAAAGGTACGGTGAATTCTCTATTTCTTGTGAATTTATTGCAGTTGAATTTTCAAGAGAGGACAAATGTTTTATAATATATACATGTATATAGGCCTACATATGAAATTTATTTTGGAAAATCATTTGTTAAATAATCTGTGTATATACTACAGACAAGACATGCATACGATAAAAATTTAAGTTCAAAATCAATGTTTATCTGCCTTTGACCTTTTACAATATGTCATTATGACAAAGATAATACATGCACTTTAAGTACAAACTAACACATTTATGTACCATAATAATATTTACGATCATTAGATACTTATATTTCAAGAGAAATTGTATGTACAGATAAAGCGTTAGTAACGACATTTACCAGATTTAATATTGTTTTGCTATTCTTAGAAGACTTTTATTTATTAAATTGTGTGCACTTGGCAATGAGCATTTGTCAAGATTTTTTCATCTTAGATCTCTGATTACATAAAGCAGCATGATATTCATATTCAATTAAGTTTTAGCAACATATTTTACAACTTCCAGTCATTCTGTCAGCATTCTATATCTACTGTTTCTACCTTAACAAGAGCCACCGTATTTATTACGCATTTATATATATGCACAATTGTTGTATACATACACACCAATAAATATATATGGTCACTTAATGCACAAGTCAGTGAAAATTCAGTAATTTAACATTCAAGGTCAAGGTCATAAAAGAGCCAAAGTCAACTTGAGTTTGATAATCATGAAGGTCTTGTCCTTAAGAAATGAAGTCAATCCATTCAATAATAGCAAAGTTACAGCCATAAAAATGAAAATTTCAATAACTTGATCTTCAAAGTCAAGGCCATTTATAAGTGAAGGTCAATGTCTGTCTGGTTATTTTAAAGGGCTATCCTTGAAGATTATTATGTTAAAGTTTGAAGACAATCCATGCAAAAATAACAAAGTTACAGCCAATAATAGCCAAAAAGAATGAGAAATGGTAATTAAAAAAATATACAGATTTTTTTTACTTTAATAATAACAAACTTCATATAATATTGTTTAAGACAAATAAAAAAAAAGAATTTTACAGATTCAACAGGAAACAACACTTGCTACATTTTTTTGTTAGAGATCACGTTAATTTTTTCTATGATGATAACAAATGATATTAATCAGGGATAGCGCGAACGCAGTCCCCACACCAATAAATTGCGTACCCGAGTAACCCACATTAGGGGTAATCGCAGGCTTCAACCCAACCGAAGTGCAATGGAAGGGTCTCTTCCTGGAGGCACTTTTTTTCTTTTTCATAAATTTATTCAGTATATTTACAAATAAAAATCCTACTGTAAAGCAGTAGGACCCGGTTTTAAAAGAAACTTAACAAATATTTATACATATATATATGAATTTAAACAACAAACAACAATTAACAACACACGTCATACCGGGCATGATTGTTGTCCACAATGCCACGCAATGCGTGCCATTGTAGACACCAAACATGAACGGAATACCTTAACAAAATATATACATTAAAACACATATCACTAAAAACACGTATCACTCCCATGCATGCCTGATGTTCACAATCATAAGCTACGCGAATTCTTGCGAACAAAACAAACATGCATGAGAGATCTCAAAATAAACATGAATAAGAAATGAAGGCAATGGGTATGTTTTTTTTTTTTTTTTTTCTATATAGTCCTATATCACTTTTATCACTGTATTATGTATATTTTATTTGACAATTATCACAATATAAAATATTATTCAAAATTAATAAGTAAGACGTGTGTATTTTTATGAATAGAAATAATAGAAACCGGGTTTACAATGTTTGTTAGTAGTATTTATGTAAGATAAAGTTTTGGATAATTCTGTATTTAATAAATTATGAAATAAATTTGGATCACGTTTTGTTTAATGTGAAGAAAAATAAATTTTGGTACAGTACAAGATAAAAAGGTGAGAAAAAAAGAAAATCTTCACAAAGTAAAGAACGGAAGGCAAGAAACCCCCAGATCGAGCAACCCCGAGATTCTGGGTGGGTAAAGTCCACAATCTCGGGGTGGCTCGAAATAGGCCCAAGCCCTACGCCACCAATAAGGTGTGAGACTCAGACGGGTCTCGGCGAATGACACCCCCAGCCGACTGTCTCGAAGCCTGAGAAAAACAGCCGACTCGAGGAATCACCGCCGAACCCCGTCTGACAAAAACGTGATATATAAGTGTATAAAAAATAAAATCACTAAGAAATTTGAATACGAAAAACAACTTTATCTTTAAAAAGGAAAGGTTAGGAGAAAAAAAATCTGATCCCAAAGCCGCATAAATGAAAACACACATACCTGAAAATATACAAAGAAAAATACTTTAGATGAAACATGTATATATAATAATGAAGGAAATGATTGATATGAGGTAATGGTCCCAAACTGGGTTACATATACAATGAAAGTGAGTGATATGAGAATGATAATATATAGAAATACATGAATGAAATAATGATCCCTAAACTGGGTTACATTGTATAATGATTTATGAAATAAAAAATAAATATATACACGATATCTCTAAATATTTTAATACGAAACAGGTATGTGCTATGATGAAAACAAAACTATATTTAAAAATAAACGTAACTTTAAGTAAATACAATATACAGACATATACAAAGTTCGCTCCCCTTTCCAGGATGACACCACCATCTCGAAGGAGTAAACAAACACCAAAGAGACAAACTGCCATCATCCTGAAAAGAGAAGAAAACAACAACAGCAGACAGAGTATACACGAAAAATATACGAAATTAGAACTATAATGAACTTGGAGATTGATGAGAAAAAATATATATAAACTGCATAAGACAGACTGACTAGAGCATGCAAGCTGGGCCAATCTATCTTATGCAATTCAACAGAAAAAGATTTTATTTATCATACATTGAGATTTAATTTGTTAACGTAGAAATCTATAAAAGACATTGCATTGAAAGAAATATCATTACTATTTAAGGTTACAAATCCATGCTGGGCCCAAACATTTAAAAAATTAAGTGAATTTAAACGTTTATAATCTAAATATATTCTGTTTCTTAAATAAATGAAAAATTGTTCTAAAAGTGATCTTATCGAAATTTTCTTATTATGATGTTTAGCATTTAAACGAGAAGACCAAATTAAGTATCTAGACAATGATAAAATAACTAAACATGTATATTTTATATCATTACTAACTTTTGGTAAATCGAAAAACCTAAAAACTTTTTCACTGAACTTAATCTTCTTATCACTTATGATATGTAATAAATATATAATTATACTATTAAAAGGCTTATAATAAGAACATTCAATAAATAGGTGAGAGACGGTTTCAATACCGTTGCAAAAATAACATGATTTTTTCTTCGAAATTCGTTTACAATATAAAAAATAATCAACATATACGACATCGTGTACTAATCTATAACAGATATTCTTATGGATTGGATCAATTGCACTTGAAAAAATATTCAAAAAGACGTTTTTAAAATTGATTTGTGGAAATAAATTGACACACTTAACTTTATAATCTGTGTCTAATAAGTAAATATAAAAAATCTTTGAAGGTGAACCAACAAACTTGTAATCTGGTATTTTATCAATTAGAACTTTAAAGGCTGAAAGACATTGTTTATAAAAAGGTGGAACAAATTCACTATGTGGAAAATTATTTTCTTGTAAAGTCTCATTATGGTGTCTTAATTGAAAACCAATCCAATATTTGGCAAAGTAAAACCAAGGAGAAGAATGATTAGAAATAATATCTTGTAAGTGTTTTAAAAGGAGAGAATACCATCTTAATTTTATATTGGGAATGTTCAAACCGCCATTTTTAAAAGGTAGATATAATGTTTTTCTCGAAATAGGTTCGAAAGATGAATTCCATATAAATCTAAAAGATGCTCTTTGAAACAAAATTAAATAGTGTTCAGGAATAATATCTGCCGTAATATAATAAATAAATTTTGAAAAAGCTAACGAATTTAGAATAGTACTTTTACCTTTAAACGAAAAACAATTTGACGATACAAGATTTAATACTCTAGAAAATTTAAGAAAGCGATCATGCCAAATTTTATCTGGATCTATATTATACCCAAAATAATACCCTAATAATTTACAATTTTGAACCCAAGATATGCCAAAAGGATGATCAGACCTATTTTTCCATTTACCCAAATATAAACCATTTGATTTCCTATAATTGATTTTTGACCCTGAAACTTGCTGAAATAAATTAACTTCCCGAAAAAATTCCTTAATTGACAAATTATCTGTAAGAATAGTTGTATTATCGTCTGCATATAATGACATCTTGACCTCGAACTTACCACCTGGAACTATTATACCTTTAATTTTTGGATTATCTTGAACTTTTTTAGCAAATGGCTCTAAACATAAAACATATAAAAGAGGAGAAAGAGAACAACCTTGACGGACAGAACGCGAAAGTGAGAAAGGATCTGATATATGGTGATTAATGATTACACTAGATTGAATATCATTATACAAAACTTTAATCCAATTAATAAAATTAATGTTAAACCCGAAAGAATGTAGCGTATTAAATAAATATTCCCACGAAACCCTATCAAACGCTTTTTCCTGATCTAAATTAATAAAACATGCTTTTAAGTTCTTTTGTTCGACATAATCAAAAATATTTCTAAGTAAATGTATATTATCGAAAATAGATCTACCTTTTATAGAACATGTTTGAGATATACCTATAATATTTGGTAAGACATTAGATAACCTATTAGTTAATATTTTGGATAAAATTTTACGGTCAATATTTAAGAGGGATATAGGACGATAATTTTTCATTAATTTTGAATTATTTTTATCTTTACAAATTAACGTAATATAAGACAACTTTTGGGAAGCAGACATTTCACCTGATTCATAACAAATTTGAAAAACTTTTAATAAAACATCGCCAAATAAATGAAAAAACTTAATGTAAAATAAAGAAGAAAGACCGTCACTACCAGGAGATTTTGTATAATCCATTTGTTTAAGAGAATTTAAAATTTCAGATTTATTTATTGGACTACTTAGGAGTAAATTATCAGATGAATTGACTTGTGGTAAATTATTTAAAAAATGTGAGGAAAGGTCTGAATTAACAGGTTCTTCTGTATATAAATTTTTATAAAAATTACGAAAACTGTCTAAAATATCTAATGATGAACTTTTTATTTCGTCATTATCATTAATTTCGAAAATTGTTTTATCAGAACCTTTGGACTGTTCAAAATTACAAAAATATTTCGATGGATTTTCATTACTGTCAATTAACTGTGTTTTACTTCTAATAATTTGACCTTTTGAATATCTTTTTTCTAAAAGTTTAAGTTTAGATAAAATCTCTTCTTTTTTGAGTAAATCAGTCGTGTTTTGATATTGAGATCTAAGTTTATTTATTTCTGAAAAAGTTTCTTTATTTTTACTTTTACTATAGTCTATACAAAAATCTTTAATTAATGATTTCATTTTGTCCCACCACTCTAAAGTATAACATTCAGTTCTTGAAATAATATGCCAATAAAATTCGAAATTCTCTATAAAAGTTTCATCATCTAAAATACTGTTATTCAATTTCCAATATGATTTACCAAAAGTTATTGTTTCATTTAATTTAAGTTTAAGAAAAACAAAATCATGATCAGAAAAACAACAAGGTAAAATGTCACACTTAAGTATTAAATCTTTAAAATGGCGAGGTAAATAAATTCGATCTAGTCTACAACCTATTGGATTATTTTTATTATTATTACACCACGTGACTGATCTCTTATCAGGATGAATGGAACGAAAAGAATCTATAAGTTTGAATTTACTAATAATTTGTGAAAATATTTTCGAACCAGAAGTGCCACGTTCAAGATTACCACCTATTTTATCTATGTTTGCATCGAAAATAAAATTATAATCTCCTAAAAGCAATAAGTTATTAGAAGTGACAAAATTTGGAAAAATAGTTTCGAAAAATTCATTACGTTCTGTATCTAAAACTGGTGCATAAATATTACAAATACGAAATTTATTATCATTTAGTTGACAGTCAGCATAGATAAATCTGCCGTTAAAATCTGTTTGATAACTATAAAGTTTCATGTCGGCATTCACAAAAATAATAGCAACACCACATCTGTTGCTTTGACCAAAACTCCATAGAATTTTATTTTCTAAGTTTAACCTCTTTTCAATAGATTTAGATAAATTAAGATTGTCAACATGAGTTTCTTGTAAACAAAGAACGTCAATATTACTAGAAGAAAGAAACATTTTAAGATCATTTATTTTATCATTGGATCTTAATCCATTTATGTTTAAAGTATATAAGTTTAAATCAGTCATTGTGTATTATAGTATTTTTAAAATATATATGAAAACTATATTTAGAAAAATAAAACAAGGGAAATAAATGTTGAATGATTTCGTAGTAGGAGGAGGAAAGAGTTACTGTCAGGGGAAAAAACTGTGTAGGGAAGAGCCAAAGGTCAAGGTTAGCGTATATCTCAGTAAAAATACGAAAAATTTTTTT